GAATTTTGTCTCTAAATGTAATGCGTTATCAATTCTAATGCACGTTCAAATTTTGGAAACATTATTTTTTTTACAAAAAAGGTGTGCTTTAGATTTAAGTAAATGTGGTATTTCCTCATTTTTATCTCTTCAATAAAAATACATACCTATCCAATGCAATTCTTATCTCCTTGTTCCTCAGACTATAAATAATAGGATTAAATAATGGAGTCACAACAGTATAAATCAGAGACAGAACCTTGTTAGCATTCAACGAGTGACCATCAGCGGGAATAACATAGAGTGTGACCAGCGTTCCATAGAAAGTAGATACAACGGCCAGATGGGAGCTGCAAGTGGAGAACGTTTTTTGTCTCCCAGAGGTTGATGGAATTTTAAGTATGGTGATGAAAATACAAATGTAGGTCACAATGATAATTATAGCTGGAAAGAGTGTCAATAGAGTGGCCAGGACAATATTTTCTATTTGCACAACAGAAATGTCTGAGCAAGAAAGCTGTAAAAGGGGAACTAAGTCACAGAAAAAGTGATCAATGATATTTGGTCCACAAAAATGTAATTGACTTACCAGTATTACAGTTACAAAGGATATTATAAACCCTAATACCCAACAAGAAACAACAAGGGAAAGACGAAGTCTGGTGTCCATAATCGTGTTGTAATGTAATGGACTGCATATGGCCAAATAGCGGTCGTAGGACATTACAGTAAGGAGTAGGCATTCCGTACCTAATGAAATTCCAAAGAACTGAAGTTGGACAATGCAAGATGGAAGAGACATGCTACCGTGTCCTCTTTGTATGATACATAGCATATTAGGAACAATATTTGTGGTTAGTATGATGTCACTTATAGAAAGATGACCAAGGAAGAAAAACATTGGATGGCTTAGTTTGGGACTGGCTGACACCAGTATGACAATCATGATATTCCCAGTCAATGTCACAATGTATAGAGTAAGAAACAGTAAGAAGTAGATTATCTTGAAGCTCTGAAGAGCTTGGAATCCCAAAAGATGAATTTCATTAACCAAAGTCAGATTTTCTCCATCCATCACCTGCCAGGCAATAACAAATGCGAGTTTACAAAATATATATATATATATATACATAATTTTGGCCATAAATCAAAGTACTTAATCATAG